GCATCTTTTACTTGCCCATCAGTAAAGTGTCTACTACTTTCAGAAAACCTTCCTTAACTTTATTGTTACATATGTATGTGGTACAAATGCACGTCAATATGTATAATTATTTAAATAGTAAGGTCCATATACGAGGCATGTGAGGGGCTGTAAAAACTTCGCTGCTGCTGCGTTACAATGCTCCCTGGGGTGCGGTTGTAAATAACGGGAACTTAATAGTTTATTTTAGGAAAACTGAGAAAAAAGATATATGTATGTACATATATAAAAACTAAAACTTTTACTTTATTTCCTATCAACCATAACTGACCAAAACTATGCGTGAATTTTCTTAGAGCTCAAGCTTTCCGTTTCCACGCTAGACTGCGCGCTTCTGTTTGGTTGAACACATACCTACGCACATGTTTGGCACCATATTTTATGCCAACCATACTTTATGCGCTTATTTTATACAATTTTTTTCATTTATTTTCGCGCCAAAGCTACCAAATTTTTTGTATAGATGATTCCATATTTTTGTGCGAGAAAACATTTCAAAAAGTTTAGCTACAAATTCTCTCTCCTAGCAGCGTTCGTATTTTCTACTTTATTTACAGTTGCCAGTAAAACGATTCGCATCTATTTTATTTAAGTAGAAACTGATATTTTTTTCCCAGCACCGAAAAAGTCTTAAGCGCAGAATGGAACTTTGAAAAGACGCAGCGAAAAATTGATACACACGTTGCTACCACACAACAGAGGCAATGGAAAGTATTGTAAAGCAGACTCAGTATGCGTCACACATAGTAGATAAACACATTGAAAAACGCACAGCTTCTGAAACGGCGCATAAGCAACTGGCAGCGAGAAATCACAGTGTGTGAGCTGGTGACTCCTTTGGCAGCGCATCCTTCGCTTGCAACTGACAGGCCGGCTTTAGTGATGGTACGGCGTGTCGTATGCAGTGAATTTGTTCGCTTTACGTAGAATTTCATGGCGCTTTAAGCAACAGCAGCCAAATTGTTTGTCTGATAGGCGAAGCTATTTGGCTACCTGAAACGCGCAGGCATACACTTGCCACATGCACAGTCGTACACACTCGTGTGTCGCAAAAGTTGACTAAAAGTGAATTTGCGCGCTTATTGGTGCGATATCAGCGCTCAAGTACAGATTTGCAAAAGCATTCAATTCATATGTACATACATACCATATGTATGTGTGTGGATATGGGAAAACATGACAACACCATAAATTATTCAAAATGCTGCAACATTCTGTGAGATATGGATATTTTGTTGTGGAAATATTTCCGTATAAATATTTTCTAAATGCTACTATGCACATATACTCATACACATTATCGATAGTGAATAGATACGCGAATTGGAAGCAAATGTGGGTGTGTACAAAAGCCTGCGAAAGTTCGTACGATTGTGCATACTTAAAGAGGAGATTTGAAGAAAGCGATTGGTCGTATTATTCGCCTACTGCGAAGTGTGTAAGGCGCTCACTTGGGAATTTTACGCTGAAAGAAAGTTCTTTGCTGCTGCTTTGATGGGGGAATTAGAAAAGTTGAATTTATTTTCACATCAAAAGCACCAGTTGCGGCAAAGTACTTAAGCGCTTACGCAGTAGTGGCGCGACAGTGCTTTTTAATGTACGAGAAATGTCTGAAAAGCACTGACTCCATATGAAATACTAGAAATGTCGGCATTAAATAATTTAAAATGAACGTTTCTGGCAAATAAAAATATTCAGTTCTGAATGGTGCCTTCCCTGGTAACGTAACTAAGTTTTTCAAAACACGGTCAGTTGTTCAGGTTTAAGAGAAGGAGAGTCCAACTCTGTGTTTGTGGTCCTAACTATACTAGCCTCTAGTCAGCCATATACTTTGTCTCGCCATAAGTTTTGTTACAAGTTCAGCGATGGAGAAGATTTTATTCAAAATGGTCACCATTTGCTTGCACACAAGCCCTCAAACATTCGTCCACTGATCAATGCCAGCAAGTCCAGTTTCAATTATTTCAAATATATTTTGAGACTCTCCAAACTTCTGTGAAGTATTCGACAGGCCATGTTTTCCAACTCTGACTACAAACTGCAGTCATTGGTTTCAAATCTGGACTTCCAAGTGGCCAATCATCTGCAGCTATGAAATCAGGAATATTGCTTTTAAGCCAATGATGGAGAATCTTGCTGATAGATCCGAATGTCAGGACGACCACTCCTTTTGCTGTCATCAATTGTAAGCGTTTGGGAAAAACGATCAATAGTGTGGTAAACCAACATTCACGGAATATTATTTAAGTTTTTTTAGATGCTCACAAATTTCACTTGTGCTTTTGCCAAACCTATTTAAAGCTATCAACACAATATGATTTTCTTTAGCACCACACTCCGTTGTTAATAAGCGAAAGCAAACGCTGAACTGGTAAATATAAAAGTAGATTATTTACAAGTTATAATACAAAATAACGGCATTTTTTCTGCGAATTTGTCCTCACTATATAAACTTTGTAAACTTTGTAACAGAATTTATGGCAATACTAAGTATTATACTACAACAGTCCCGTTACATTTTTGGGTACATTGGACAAACAAAACCTTGACCTAACTTGAATATCATTTCTGAAAATTGATTCCATGAAAAAAGTTTAGTCAAATAGGCAGTTTCGCAGTTGTCTTCTCAAAATTGTTCCATATCTATTAGAGATACCGACTAATTTTGATTTACGCATGGCAAGTAGCTATTGATCATAGACCACCGTCACTTGTTATAGTGTACCGAAATGCCAAATCAAGTTATCTATATTATTTTTGACCATTGGAGTATGAATTCGGTGAATACTTTTAAGGAAAGTCAATAAATATTTTTTTACCATTTTACGAATATGAAATATTACTTTTCTAAAATGATTTTCAAAAAAATAACTTTTCTTTACTAAAGAAAACCCTTAACCCATTTCCTAAATTAAATTTTCTTACTTTTTATAATAATTTGAAGAATTTATGCATTTAATGCACACGACTCTGGTAATTTTATGACCAATGTGCAAATTAATTTAAATGCGTTGTTATGGTCAATTGTTGGTTGTTATTTATTTACGTTTTATTTTACGAATACTTTTATTGCAATGCTAATAAAAAAATGGAACCTTAGAGATATCGTCTCAGTTTGCAAGAATTCAGTTCAGTTCAGTTGCCATACGAAATGCAAAATACTATAGTAACTACGACTACTAGACCCACTATCGTCGGTTGCATTACATAATAGAGGTACAATTTTTTTTTCATTTCCAACTGGTTTTTATGTGGGTTGGCGCCATAGAAATATTATAAATATTTAAACATTACATAATTACCTGCGCTAATAATTGTCGCTACAATTTTTTACGCCGTCAATTATGTATTTAAATTTACGCTACATTTTTTACTAATAAAAATGCATTAAACCATTATAGACACAAGGGGCAAACACCAGTTGTTGCTGCTGTGAAATTTTTTAATATCAAAAGCCGAGCAAATACCTTTACATTCCGTTCTACGGAAGTTTTATATCATTGCAAAAAATGTACAGCTAACACACAAGCTCCACAAAAACTAATAATTTCACACAATTTTTCTGTACTGTAAATATGTATGTATATATGCATGTGGCACGCCATGCATTGCTTCCAACGTTTACCATAGAGAAGAGATGACTGTGGATGCCGTACTAAATGGGCACAAAGAAAAAATAATACACAACGAACACTGACTTTTTATATCTAAATACCTATACATGTGTATGTATGTGTATGCATACATATTACGGTGCAATAATGAGATGAGCGAAAAAAGTGGCAAGCATTGAGGCATGTTAAATAATGCGTACTCACAATTCAAATATCACACCTTTATAGTAAGCGGTATATTTGTGTTATTTTATGAATATAATATGGTTAATGGAAAGTGTAAATATTTAAATAAAAAGCCTAAAAAATTGTCGTATTATGTAAATATTAAGTGGCGCGAATTTGTGGCATGTAAATATGATAAGGTGCAAATGCGACAATATTGTGACACACAAGTAAACACAGTACAATATATTTGCGCTAAATGTGGCGAATGAGACTAAAAAGTTTTCATATGTCAGTGTATAAGCTTCTATGTACTATACACACGTACATACATATGTATGTGTGCGAAAGTGCGCTAAACGCTTGATAAAATGGCATGCAAGGTACAAAATGGCTAAGGAGGTAGGGATTCGAAATGAATGAAAGGCGCATGAGATAAGAACAAAATGGAAAATATATATGTGTGTATGTATGTAAAGTGACTGAAGCGCAAAATGAGCAGTGTTGTTACTTATGACGATGTGATTTGATATGCTTGGAATGAGGCAGGTCGAAGGGAAATGCGATTTTTATACATATGTATATATGTAAATCTAACTTTGCTAACATTTATACAAGTAAACATATAAAGACATATATAGATGTATGTATATATAAATGATGATGTTTGGGTCCAATATATTTCTTTTACATTAGCACCAACACCAACAGAGCATTTCCACCAACGCTACAAATCGGGCAATTACATAGATGAAGAAAAAGTATATATATGTATATATATTAATTATTCTGAATGTTGAATGCTAACAGAATATAATTGAATATGTATGTATGGTGAATAAAACAAAAGTAATATGTCTTTCGGATGTGAATATTAAGGCAATACATTAATGCTTTTAGCCTAAATATATGTAAATATAAGTATCTATGATTTAATATTGCAAAAATCAAAACTGAATATGCGAATAAAAAATTGTTATTACTGCGAGCAGTAGGCGTTGTTGCAAGCAGCTTGCGAGTTGCTGCACAAATCGATAGTTTTATGTTTATTTTTTTGATTTTTGTCGTTATTGCCTTGACGACGCTTGTTTTGCATTTGCTATTATTATTCTCTACTTCTATGCTTTTTACTGTCATAATCTTCAACGCTCTTAATTTTTTTTCTACACATTGAATGCTCACTCAGTATGACCAGCAGGCAAACCAATATGGCTGCCAGTGCGCCCATGCTCAACTTCAGCGTTTGCCCCTCTTGCACCAATTCGCAATTCTCGCCCCAAAAGCCATCCGGACAGATGCAACGGTAACGCAGACGTGGGTCCAAATTGATGCAAGTGGCACCATTCAGACATGGCAAGTCCAGACATTCGTTGCGATCCATGCAGCCTTTGGCGTCTGGCGACATGACGCGTCCTTCACCGCAACTACAAGGCGTTGTTGTGCATTGCAATGTCGAAGATTTTGTTGTTGTTTTTTTTTGTTTTATGAAACGGTTGTTTTATTAAATTATTTACGTGCAGCGTATGAATATTTTATTTATTTTTTTGTTTGCGTTGATGACGATGGTGGCAGTTGTGGTGGTGGTGGTGAAAAAGATATACATACATACGATTTATTTATAATTATGTTATATTAGGTGAAAGTTATATGCAAAGGCTTATACTTATTATAAGGATTTTAGAATTTTGCAAAAAGTTGATGTGAAAATCATGAATTTTATGGATTTTTGCTTATAAGCGATATGTGTGTGTGTAAATGATTAACGTTCATCAATGAATATACAAATGGTTATGTGTTGGATTCAGATGAAAATTCAAACACTTGAACTTGAGTATTTGTAGTAATTTAGATTACAAGCAGTGGTTGTACTTTGTTGGGCGAAGTAACTTCCCTGCAAGCTAACTATCGGTTAATTACCCAATAGCGCTACAAGATATTTCTGTTAAAGTTTCTATGAGTTTCTTAAGTTTCTTAAGTCCTCATTGACAATTCTAACCGAAACTCTTGTGTACGTGTGATCGTTCATCCCTTTTTACGCAAAGGTCTTATGATTTGCACATTGTGTATGTGTTAGTTACCGCGCTATTTCTTTCAGTGTATTGTAGTTTCGGTAGCTGTGACTTGCTGGGTTCACTGGATGACTGTAAAACTTGGTCTAAAGTTAATAAAATTCGAATAAACCTGAATATATTATCGCTCATATACAAGCGCTTACATATGTACATCATATAATGTACATACATATGTATATCTGTATATGTGTAAGTGCATGCCCATGTTCACAGAATTGGGCAACAAAGCATGTGACGGCATCCGCTCGCCAATGTCCAAACTGCATTGTGTTTCGAAACTTTCCGAAAGGCTTTCCTTGTCAAATTCAATGCAGTCGAAGTTGCAGTAAACTTTGCACAAATTATATAAATACTAGGGTATATATATAATGTATATATAAATGCATTGCATGTCCCCATATGTACTTTCGACCCATTACATCCTTGTAAATATTTTGCTTACGCATTCTGTTACTTAGAACCCTCTTTTCATCGTTTTTTCTTTGAATCAACCTTGCTTGCAACTGCTTCAATTGTGGTTTATTGCTTTTACTTCACTTCTCTTCGACTTTTGTTATCGTTGTTTTGTTGTGTTCACATAGTTTGGTTTGGCGTCTTGTTAAAATTTCGCTTGAGTTCGAAAGTTTTTGAATTCAGCACAAATGCTCTGCATGTTTTCCCTAATTATTTAGAAAGGAAAAGTTTCTTTGAATAGTGACAGGTGTGCGTGCAACATTAAGCTTCTTCGGCTACATGCGTATTAGTTTGTGGTTATGGAAGTGGCTGATGTGGTATCACTTCGGCAACTTTTAAGCCGACAATATGCCGAATATGTGACATTGATAAGGAAAGTTTTGTGGCTTAGTTAGAGCTTTCATTTTTAATAAAAGTGAAAGTGCTCCAATTATTATATATACTTTGTAGCTCTATTTGATTACAATATTTCGAACAATAGCGGAAGCATAAATTACAGTTGCAAGATGCAGTTCTTTTATTATTATTTTTTTTTTTTTGTTGTAACAAGGCTAAACAGCTCAAGAGTAATTGGAAATTATTCATAAAATATAAAATTTATTTAACAACTTGATTTGTGATATCTAAAACAGTAAGCTAGGGATGGGTATATACTTAGCCACAAACATTTTGAAACTTCGGCAGAGAGTTTTGGATGAGGTAATGCTTTGGTGAAATAATCATTTGAAAAGCACAATATATATTGCAACTCATTGTAATTTCGTGGAAATATAGAATTTCACCCAAGGTACATAACATACAAAAACCTATTTTACCCTGGTTTAAAGTAAATCAAGGCTACAGGTTTATACATATGTATGTATTGGCAAATAATTAAGTATCTTAACTTTCAGGACATGCCACTGAAATTGGTACTTTGCAAGCTGAATAAAAGCTTAAAGCGAAAAAGTTTAGCACTTCGTTCACTCTATGCGAAACCGCTGAAGGATAATAATTAAAGACCAAGCTACCAAGTATTACAAGTACATAAGTGTTCTGTTAATGTGTTAATTATTTCCATAAAGTTTCTGTAAACAAGAAATTTGCATAAAAATTTTCACATGAATTTCGTTTAATTGTAAACGTTTCTCGGTATGTTTCATATTTCATGCGAAAACAGTAAGGACTAGTAATTGCAAACACTGCAGCATTTGTAATTTTCATAAAATAAGCAAAAGCTGTATTGTTTGCCTGCAATAATACACCATAACATGGAATTTTTTATTATGATTATTCTGAAACTTCAGGCTTTATTATCATATTACGACTACACATTGTTCCGATTTGTGGAATGTTGCTGGAACCACTTCCCACATGTTTATCTATTATTGTTACTTGTTCATAGATAATTTAAGATTTTCTCAACTGGAAACTACGACTACAAATAGTACGTTTGTCTAGTTTAAGACCTAGAAGTACCTGAATATGAAAGAAATAAATGTAATGACGATTTCAATCCGTTTCTTTTTTTGAAAGTGTTTGACATGAAAATACATTAGTGTGTGATGTCATTAACGAGATAATGGCAAAGTCACATTTCTTTCACTTATGGCGGGTTTATTTTGCGTGGTCTCGTCTTGACAATAGATTTTTGACTTTACCTAATAGCCTTTTCGCACAGCCAAATTAATTTAGTACATTAAGATTATAATTAAGAAACCAGTTTTTGCCTTTCGCACAGCCGGGTACTCGATTAACGATAGCTGTTGTACTTGCTTGTGTTCTTAATTTTTTATTTTTTCTATTGATTAAAATTTATCAGCTGACAGAACCAAATTTACACACCCTGGTCAACAACCCGCAGAGTTAAGTGTGTCATGAGTGTCTTTGCAAGTGTCAGTTTCAAATATTTGGATTAGTTCAGCTAATAAAGCTGGCAAATAGGGATGCAAGGATGTCTTTGAAAGGTATTTAGCAATGCGAATATTACTTTTATGGATTCGTCAAAATAATCTCTCATTATTTTTCATTTGACTAATTTAATTGATTACAAAACTTGATCACAACTTTTAAACAGCCTACTTCTTAAATATTCTATACCTAAATTTGAGAAATACATAGTTTTAAAGAAATGACAATGCTTCAAAATGCCGATTATGGACGCTCACCCCTAAATTAGATTACATTAAACCAATAAGTTAACATTTTACTTAAAAAATCCACTGAAAATATGTCTGTTATGGACCTTTAGCAGTTTGGTATCAGAAATTCTGGTAGGTGTCAGGAATACAACTTTGCCAACGTTGTGTTGAAATATTAGATCTTTATAGCTTTTTCGTTTTAATTTTGAAAATATTGCCTAGAGAAACATACTTCATTTCAATAATGATTCACTTTCATAAACAACGCAATTAAGAGAGAACGAGAGACAAAAAAATGCTGAAATGTTAAAATGAGTAATTCTATTTGTAGACGATTGGATGTCGGTTTCTAATTATATGTAGACTTATATATCTTTTAGGTCAGTGCAACATAAAATATTTGGCGATTCGGGCAATTTCGATTTCGATTGACCAATTTTCATCTGTTAATAATGTGTTTAAATTTCCCAAAATTAAAAAAAGAAAATTTAAATGTTTACCAAAAAAATAAGTTAATTCAAATGTTGAAGTTAAATTCGGTTTGAAAGAAAATTTTTTCTATAATTTCATTTAAAAAAATTATATTTGGGCTAGTATAATATATTTTGATATTTGTATCACTTGAGTACATACATGAAAAAGTATGATTTTAGTTCATAGAAGAACTGATGAATACCAGTTGGAGATACTTATATATGAACCTTGAGTTATGGAGAGCGAATATTAATATATGTTGTAACAACATACTTACTCGTATATAAATAAAAGTAATCACATATGTACATATCTACACTTTTCGGCAGCATTCATATTTACACAGACTTGCCGTGCTTGTAATGTTACGGAGAAATGTCTGCTCTTGAGAGGGTGATTCTAAAATGTTTATGCCTACGTACGGTATGTTTGTTTTTGTAATGCTGAGTGAGTGATTTCTTTCGCCAACCTTGATCGTCACACTTTACTTTACTCCTCTCACAGCATTTTTACTAGTATGGGAAATTGTTGAAAGACGCTTTTTCAATCGAAAATGAAATGATGCAAGTGAAAGCTAGTGTCTGCAGGTGAATGTTGCAAGCGTTTAGGGCAAAAACACGAATGACTTTTCGTAATGGAGTGTGTTTGCATGTGGTAGGCTATAAAAAGCGACTTTGTGTTTTTCGACGCCGACATTTGCAGAGTTTGTTGTTTTATTGCGTTTTACTGTTTGTTGTGCTTTATGACATGGAGAGCTTTGCTCACTTGTAGGTGAACTCGCCTGTATTCGTGTTGCTCATATATGGATCCAGTAAAAGAATGTATATATAAATTTTGTAGAATTTCGAAAGTGAAAAACCATTAAATGTTCTTTCGCTTAGTTTACTGCCGTTTTAGTACATTTGCTGTAAATGCCTTTAAAAATTATTCGAAAGACTTATCGAAATTGTTGCAAGTATCTTTTTAAATTTTTGTAAGTGGTGGCAATAAATTTTGTTATATCTTGTAAACTTTTATTTTGTTATGTGGGTATATATAATATTTATAGTGTCCAGTCTACATTTTGAATACTTGATTTATAAAACAGCTTGTTTGAAGGTACTAAAAAGTTGGATTCTAACTTTCTGTATTTGTTTTTAACAAAAAATTTTGACGTTTTTGGTTATATGCTAATATTAATATTAAAAAGGAAAAATTTTAAAAGTATTATTTAATTAATCTAGTACTGCATTTATGGTTCCAATGTCCTTATGACTCCATAAGAACCACAATAGTTCTCATGACACTAGTAGGACTGTAATGAAGAAGATCTTTTAAATGTCCATCGAATGTATAGTTTGTTAATAGTACGCAAAAGGTAAAAAATGGAATCAACCAATAAGCTGTCTAGTTAAAAATACTTTTACAACTAATAACAGTTAAATATCGCAATGTTTTTTAATTAATTCTTTATATGTTAAGGTAACTGTATGTTTTTTACATATTTTAGCAAAGTCGAGATATTCCATTTATGATTGAATGGAATGAGTAACTCAAAAATGTTATGAAAACAAACGATAGTAAGGCAAAAGTAATGTGCTTGCGTGCCAATTGCAACATAAATTGAACTTAAACGATACTCACGTGCACTCATATTCGTTCCACAGATCCACACATTCGAACGGCTCTGGGCATATGACATTTGAACAAGGTTTATTGGAGGGACAGTTCTTTTCCAGATTACGCGCCATAGTGGCTTGACCCCATTGCGTGCCATTCATAGCGGGTGGTAAGGGTAAATGTTTGCCTTCAAGCCTATAAGCAAACGCAAACATAAAATAAAAATTCACATGAATAAATGCCTGGTAACGCAAGGAGTTAGAGTGCAATGGAAAGGCCAAACTCTCTAACATTTGGTACGGGTTTATCATGCATGCATATACATTGTTCAAGGCTGCATACTCACCTAATGTCGTCCAGGCAGCTCTTTTGGTAATCCGCATACACCTCAAATGTACGCACGCCCGTATATTCAGCTTTACCTCCAGCATATACACCCTCCTGCTTGTCGACCAGTAGCCATTGATGACCCACAAATTCGAATGTCTCATTGTAACGTCGTCCTTCGCCACCATCTAGCTCCAGGGTAGCTGCCGAACCATAACGATTAATGCGTACCACATGCCATTGACCATCGTCGACCGCGACTGCGTTCAAACATAAATCTTTCTCCTCCGTACGCAGTGAATTGAGATTGTAGCGGAAGTGTAGACGCGCATCCTTAATTTCTAAAATTCCATATTCGCGGTTATGTTGGTCCGAAACACGAAACAGTTCGCCGTGTTGCTCACGTGTACGGAAACGTAATTGTATTTGTGTACTAAATCGATCTGGCTCAAAGCTGAGTGCATACTTAACGTAGCTCTGTTGCTTGAAGGTGGTCGGTATGGTGGGTATATTGCAAGCAGGTCCCGTCCAGCCGGGGCGGCACTGGCAACGTGCTTCTGAAAGAGAGCCAACACAGTTGCCGTGTTCCCAGCAGCGTGCTGTTTGCTCTGATTGAGAGCAAACTTCTTCAGTTTGTTGACAACCAGTTACACTATTGCGTGAAAGTCCTGGATGCGCCAGGTCATAGAGCTTAGAATTAAATATCAAATTACGTATGCAGCCATCGAAAGCTTTGGCGTTGGGCGCATAATGCCAGAAATAAAGTGACGGATCGAAGAGGTCGCGGTAGATGCCACCCACCTGAAGGGGTCCATTAACATTGAGGTATTCATTGAACGGAGGTATTTGTCCACGCGCCTGACAGGACATGTCATCAAATTCGGGTGGTGAGCCATCTTCCATTTCACTAATGTTTGCAGATTTACAGAAGTCTATAACCATGCGTACACTCTCTGTATCCCAAAATATATCGATACGATGCCATTCACCGTCATCAAGCGACTTTTTTGTTTTGACGCGCAGTTCTAACGTACCGGAACCGAAATCCATAAGTAAACGTGGATAACCACGTTCTAATTCGAGCGCTATGTAATCAGTAATAATCATTTCTTCGCGTTCTGGTGGAACGATCGGTCCATTGTAGATGAAAAGACCATCCGGTTTTCTAGTTATGAACTCTAAACTCAAATGTGATTCATCACACATTTCTAGTGGTGGGTACCACGCCCAACCATTGCCTCGGAAGCTGCGAGTTGTTTGTTGGCAGCGTGGACCATTATAGCCTGCCGGGCAGGAACAGTGCGGACCAAACCGTGTATCTACACAACGTCCACCATTGTAGCAAGGTGTGTTACGACACGACTCAGGTTTCGAAAAGTTGCGAGCGCCACAAGTGCACTCAGCAAGCGTATCTACGCGCACACCCACCAATGCGGTCTTATTCGCATTCACCATATAAGGCAGAGAGCTGATATCCAATGTATTTGTGCAGGAGCCTTCGCACATCTGATTCTCATACAAACATTCATCAATTCCAACCATGGTGATATTGAATCCCACATCTTTCTCAATCTCCTCTCGATTCATGAGCACAATACCATTGAGACGTACCGGTTTGTAGTAGGGCGAGCCATGCGCAGAGAAACGTATATCGGTGAGTGGTGGATGCCGACGCTTCAGTTGCACACTAAATATATCTACGTTCTCACGATCCGCATTCAGCAGATCCGCCAATTTGTCTCGGAAACGATCCAATTTTGAGCGACTCAAACTCTGTGTGCGATAATTCCAGACTCTTATGAAATCCTCATCTGTTATACCGGAGACGCGTATAGAACCTGAATTGATTACCGCTTCGTGAGAGATCTCGCGGACTGTCACCGTAATATTGGCGGGCACATCGGTTTGGGTGTGTTTGCGATCGTATACCTTAAAGCGCAAATGATAACGTCCTTCGCGTGTACCGGCACGCATCGTTACCATGCCTGAATCCTCGTCCAATTTGAATCGTGGATGTTCTTGCGGATCCCAATAGAATTTCTTGTCTGGCAAGTCCCAATCATCCAGATCATACACATACACGCGTCCAATTTGTGTATCCGGTGACTGACCTTGATAATTGTAAACAAAAATATCTTTGGATCCGGGTTGCATTTTATTGTCATTTACGTCTCCAATGATGACAGTTAGTGTGCTGGTGCCGGTCATCGCAGGTGAGCCGTGGTCCTTAATCACAATCGGAATCATGTACTCTTTCTGTTGCTCACGATCGAAAGAGCGGAGAGAGGAGATTACAGCCATGCCATCGCCATTAGCGCCCTCTGTGATAGCGAAAGAGTAAATTGAGGAAAAATTACATGTAGCATAAGATTAATTGCTTGTTTTATAAAATCCGCTATAAAAAACTAGAAACTTTAAATTGCTTTAGCAAAATAGTTTTGTTTATCCTTCCTTACATATGCATCTCCACGAGAGCTTTTATGATATTTAAATTATGTATGCATAAAGCACATATTATGGTGTCGTCCCTAGCGTTTGTGCATACCAAAACAAAAGCAAAAGTCAAATGCAAAAGTTGCAATGCCCAATTCATTTAAATGGTTTACCCATTGAAAATTTGGTGTTTAGCTTTTAGAACAAAAACTAATTTCATTGTTTCATGTCGTCCGAAAAAACAAGGAAGTAAGGGTAGAACAATTGCGCCAATTATCAAGTAAAGCATATGTAGGTATATATACATACATACGTATATAAGAACCTACATTGAGTAAAATTCAAATTAAACCCAGCAAATAATTAGAGCAAACGACTTATCCAGATCTTAAAGCGTAAATTTTTTGCGACAGTAAGTAAATCGGAAGATTTCTATAAAGTTGAATCGATTTAATAATTTTGAAAAACTTCTCAAGCATTCAACCATAATAAAGAATTGAATGTTTTTCGGAAGCCGCAAAATATTTGTCGTATACCATATAAAGTACTTGTATATATATAAATGATCAGCGAGGCAAACTGTGTCAATTAGTCGCTCAGTGATTGAGTGATCGATCTAAATTTTAGTATACGTCTTTTTCTCACCAAGAATCTGCTCATTTGTCGGAACAATTATAGTATGTAGCTGCCATTCAAACTGACCGATTGAAATCAAGATGAATATATTCCTATACCTTTTATACCATAAAAAAATGCACCTGTAAAGGGTACTACATTAAAACTAAAGCGTACATGTGATCCACGTAACAATAATATCGAATCTAGCGAGGCAATGGAACATTTTATTTTAACTATTCTATTTTCACTAAAATACCCAAACTCTTAGGCTTAAGAATGAGATATTTCGAAAGCAATTAGATTTTGGCTTACCACACTTTTATTTTAATATAGTATAATTATCGATTCTGGCACTTAAGTGTTTCATAAGTTCATAGTTAATCGTTAACGGTTGGCTGTTCATTGAATTTTTTGTTTATTTTACAATAAACATAACTAAACAAAATTATTTATATAACATGAGTGTATTTATACGCTTGCTGGGAAGTATTTTGTCCGTACTATAAAAAAACTGCTTGGAAAAATAACTATGAGCACAATGTAGGCGATTCAGTTCAAACTTCCATGTTTCTGAACCTAAACCATTGCAAAGCATTGCTTGGAAACTGTATTTTGGATTGTAATTACGTTTAAATCTAGAAATGTATTTGAAAATGTAAACGAATGTGTACTAACTGAACAATAGCAAGCATGTATGTATATCACTTTCAATGCCAACTGTGACTGCTCAATGTGGAGTGGACAGCAAATGCACCAAACTCATCCTCACTTCTAAAAATTACAATGCATGAGATATATTTTTATTTTGAAGTTTCCCCAAAAGTTTTGGGTTTAAATTTTCCAATGCTGAGAATGCGGTTTGGACGTTTTTATATTCATATACACTCAAGAAAAAGCAGATAGATGGATAATCGATTTTGAATGTATTTCATCCTTTTCACATTGCAAGTACTTTCATTTTGCTCATAAAATACGAATCAACAAGTAAGGCAGGCTACTTTTAAAGATTAAAGCCGGAGGCATATTTTCAGGTATAAGCAAAATTTTATATTAAAAAAAAAACAAAGTGGTGAAAGAATTCAATATTCGCGGTTCTACGAAATTGTGAATCGATTAAGATCATATTTGGTATCTTATTTACTTATATTGTAGGTCGTAGACTTTCTAAGTTTCATTACTACATTTCAATTCAAGTCTGAGATATTTATATCAAAGTCAACCTCAAATGAGATATACACATATGCGATAAACCTAAACTTAACTTAATATAAAGGGTATGTAAGGAAAACAATCAGAAGATCGGAAGTTAGTTTATTAGGGATATGAGGTTTTCAACATAACCGTTATATGAACAGTGGATGACACTTCCATCCGATTTCACCAATTTTTATACGGTCGAAAAGATTTATCCTGAACAAATTTAGTTGATATAACTCAAGTGGTTTGTCAGATATGTATGGGGAGGAACACGGCCATTTTTTTAAATATTTTAAACCACAGATGCTTCTCTTTATTGCGAATTGCTGAAACAAATTACAGTTTTATATCTTAATTTGGAGCTTAGTTAAGGCATTTTATAGTTTTCGATTAATGGCGTCGGACCACATTCCGCCCATCTGCAATACCAACGTTCTCATGCTAACATGAAACATGTGTATCGAGTTTTATCAAGATATCTTAATTTATATCACTTGCACACACGTAAGGACGGAGAGATAGACAAACGCCATGATTTCAGTCGACACGTCATTTTGATCAATTATTATACAAGTATATATATGTAGATACATAACTCTATATCTATCTCGATTAGTTTTAAGTGATATATATAACCGTTAGGTCAACAAAATTATTTTACTCTGTGCAACATGTTGCGGTAGTATAAAAAAAGGATGAAATGCGTATAATCATTTAAAATGTTTTCATTGAATGGGTATTTCCGTTGAAGATAGACTCATAAATTCTCATGATCTACTAAGGAAGTGCGAACACACAAAAAATGGAAAATTTCTCACCATTGTTTGTGCCTGATTCAGTGAATTGTGCATTATCAACTTTTTTGAGAATTCACCGTAAAAGGCACGGAGAGATGATAATTTGATTTGGTTTCTTCATTCTTAAGAAATTTGGCAGAATGGGTTTATCTGGTAAGCTAATTATTTCGTGCACAAATTCACTGAAATTTACTACTAAATGAAATTTATGCAAGACAAATTTTGCGCATGTACATATTTAAATTAAGTTTTTTCCTGATCACGATACGCGACATCATTTAAATAGTTTTAAATACATTTAAGTCGTGCGTTCACTTACTCTGATCTTGTTCCACTTTGAAAGACGCGCGTATTATGTCATCAGCGCTGGGATCCAGTCTAAATTGGAATGGAGGTCCATTGCTTTTTGAACGATCATCATCGTCTGTAGCCAATATTTCAACCACCTTTCTTGGAGGCACATGCTCTGGCAACACAGGCCGATAATCTTTTAAGAATTTCGGTGCATTATCATTAATATCCTGCACAATTACTGTCAGTGTAGCAGTTGCGGTTTTTGGTGGTGAACCGTCATCAATTGCCAAAATTTTTACTTGGTGTCGTGGCACAACTTCCCGATCCAATGAACGTTGTATTGTCACCGAACCATTTTGATTGATAGCGAATTGTCGCTGCCGATCTGAGGAGCGATCGATTGAATATGAAACTTTGCTTTTACCGCCTTGATCGGGATCTGTCGCTTTGAATTTCTCCAATTCCGTGCCAACTTTAGTGTCTTCAAACACAGACACTTCCACATTAGCACGTTCAAAGTGCGGCTTGTTATCGTTTATATCACGTAGCTTTACCACAACCCAAGAGTAGGCAACATGGTATTTATCGTTGTCGTTGTCCTCACCCTTGTCATTAACTTGAATGCGAAAGCGGAATCCATTGCTTTGTAACTGGTCTTCATAATCTAGTGGTTGTACAATTTTTAGTGAGCCTGTACCATCATTGTTTCGCACCATAGTGAACTTATCAGCGCCATAACCACTGTTATCGATAACTTTGTACTGGAACTTGTTTGTTTCATCCTCATCATGTACCGTCACTGTAAGTATAGGCATTTCGGGCAATGTTGTGCCATCCGTTTCGTCCACCTCTGTAAACCATTCGTCTTTTGTAAATTGCGGCGGCATATCGTTGATATCTTTCACACGTATAGAAGCCGTCCCCGTGCCCTTTAACCCCCCGCCGTCCATGGCAACCACTTGTATAGAATAATCCGGGGTGCGCTCACGATCCAAACAACAGACTGCAGTTTTTATAACACCGGTGTCAGGTTCTATTTCGAAAATAGGCGAACCCGTTTCCTCTTCAATCACATTCTTCTCAATGGAGTATACGAGCTTTGCATTAGATCCCTCATTTGGATCATCGTAATCAACCGCTGTCATGGTCATCACCACCATACCGGCAGTACCGTTCTCTGTCACATTGCCAAAGTAGACGCCTTGTGGGAAGATCGGTGCATTATCGTTGATGTCTTTCAAATTCACTTGCACATCAGCATAACCGACAAGACCCTCACCACCTTCGTCTTGCGCGAAAACTGTGAAACGCCATTGCGGACGCCCGTTCGGTTGATCACGATCAAGTGGCTATAAAGAGAAAACGGAGGTATATAAATTCATTAGTGCTTGTGCATACATTTCAATTTAGGCATATGCTCCACGTAATCATATCATAGGGATCCTGTGAATTTCGCCTTGTACTATTGATAAAAAATATCGAGTTTATCAGTTTAATAATATCAAATCATATTTTTAAAAACATTTTTATTATATTATATTATATACATAATTTATATAATCATATAAGAAGACAGCGCGCTAAAAGCGAAAGCTTTAGTTTGGCAAACGGACTAGCGCGAGGTAAGATTTATCGAAGAAGGTCGGATTATTTGCGCAAGTGACATATAGTGGAGATATCGAATTCAGTGGGTTCTTTTAGTAACTGAGGGGATAAGTGCATTAAAATGATAGTGCATAGAAAAAGAGGAGGAGATTTCAGAAAGAATGGAGGGTGGTCCAGTACTATGCTGTAGCTAAGTAGTATTCAAAATTTGGTTTTAAGTGTGGTCAAGCCGAAGGCGAGTATACAGCTGAAGTTTGATACGTCCTACATTTTGTAAGGAAATTATAATTATTCCATCCGATAACTGATTTGTTTTCCATTTTTAAATTTGGGATATCGACCAGATACTTTGTGCCTCCATTATATACATATATACCTAAATTTAATATTTTGGCCATGAAACATTCGAAATATTCTCACAAAAGTTGTGGTAGAAAATAATTTATGCAAGTTGTGTGTTTGTCCCGTAGGTAGTAGAATATTTGAATAGTAAAGCATTTGCGAACCAATATATATGCATAATAAATTTTCACGTACATATAAACTTGTGTTGAATCCTTCATTCGGAATGTAATATTACATACATATGTGTGTAAGAGTTATGAAGGTCTATGCTCATTAAAATCATTGCCAAAGTTGTACTTTGCCAAACAAGTTTGAGGCATTAACGTTATGCATGTTAGAAAATTTCTCGGCGAAATATACGCAAAAATTATTTTCAGTAATACATTTGGGAATAATCTATTAAATTTTGAAGAATATTTTAATTAATTTAATTTCCATTGAAATACAGATATAAACAGAAATAATTTTTAATTTTTATTTAAATTTTATTTAGAGTTCAGCTACTATGCTGCTATTTATTATATAACCGATAAATACCTATATTTGAGGTACAGTTATAAGAACAAATCCTTTCATTGTGGACTCATAAACCACAGTCTTACCGTTGTTCGTAAATAAAATCATTATGAAGTATACGTACTCACATTCCAAAACTCATAGAATTCTGTATGAAATTGATTTTAAGCAGTTATTTTTGTTGATTTTAATGTTTCTATGAATTTGATAATAGAAATACATAATAAACACGCTACACGGTTGCCTAACGGCTATTATACTCGGGCTAGTAACATAAGCTGTCTTCGATTCGCAATTTCTCTGCTCGCTATCTTTGCGCGCTGTTATCTTGACACAAAAATTAATATTTAAAGTAACAACAAAGTTATGGAGTTGAATTGATACAAGAGAGTATGCGGATACCTCATTAAAGTGGCATAACCGCTATCACCAATGCTACAAATTTTTGTTTAGCAGATTTGAGATCTGTTTTACTATTGTGAGTGGCTCAAATAACAAATGAGAAGTGAAAATACTTACTTCTTTTTTCTTAGATTTTAAAAACTTAAGACTTAAAATCAATTATAACAGTTCATAGAAAACCAAACTAAGGGGTTATTACTAAAACGTTTTTTAAACGCGAAAAAAGAATTTTCCACCATCACTGCGCATGATTCGGAGAATATGCTAGCTCAAGGTCGCATCACAAGTGCTGCCTGTTTGTTTGAACAACTCGTATACTTTTTATAATTGACTACTCTCCAACGCTTGGCGAATCGAACACAGCTATTCACAATAGGGTTGTTTTCTTCAATGATTTGTGATTGAAACATTATGTAAATTAACTTCTTCAAAACCTTGAATCTATAATTTGGATACTGGCAGTATAATGGTACGAGTGTTTTAATTAAATTTACCTAATGTCAGCAGCCATGTAAATAATAATGATTCTATGTAGATACCCTAGATACCCATAAATAATTAATTTAAGTACAGGAAATATATATACTATATTAGTAAACATACCCATAATCAATACTACTTTTGATGATTTCTCTTTATAAAGGAGTGAGTATTTAAGTGACAGGGAGCAGTGATGATACATCAACGAATTGTGGTGTGTAGGAGAGAAATTCAGACTAGGATATACCATACAAGTACATACATAAATTGGTATAACAAAAAGGATTATCGCTTTGTTGGCTGCAGTTGACATGATAATTTACTTGAAAAATCTCCGTCAAACGTATATTTGTGCTACATACATATATAACGAGTATGTTTATTAGCACATTACACGACTAACTCAAAAGTTACCTTCGGATAGGTACCACTGTGTACTTCGTATTTTTTGTCTCGTAGGTTTGCTGAAAAAAAACTAAAACCACTGCCATTTGATGAATTTCTGGTGCTTACTACAACATGAATGCTAAGAGTTCTCGCTTCGTTTGACTTGGCATACTAAAGTAGAATTTTATGCAACCTTTAGTGTGAGAATGAATACACGCGAGACAAAACATAGCAGCATATCTGTGCAGCGCCTGGAACGCATAAATTTGCCGACCACAATCTCTACGAAGCCATTGACAATAGCGCCACTGCAGCTGTGGCAGGTGAAGTGCCGGCAAATGCAGTTAGACTTAGCGAGAGTGTGCATAAAGGAGTTTGTGGGTAGCAACGGTGGCATTTGCGCCTTGCATATGCAGGGTAAATTTATTAGGTACAGGCGAAATTCCCTCTGCGGTGCTTAGCGCAAGCTTAAGTACGCCCATAAAGCTGAAATGCATTTTTAATGTTGCAGCCATGTGAATTTATGAAAATTTTCGTGAAGCTCAATCTTGAAGCTGATATAAGAAATATAAGCATGCAACACAGTAAAGGGAGGTAAGCGCGTGCAATAAAAATAATTGTTTTTGCCTTTAATGTTTCTGGAAACTTTATTATTTTCTTTTTCAGTTGAAAAACGAAAAACGGTATCGTTGTCATTGGCAGACTTATAGATAACATAAGAAGTGCTGGCTTAACGCGCATTTACTTCGGATAGGTAAAAAGAACGGTTTCTTTTAATTATATCTCCTCCATTTATAACTGTAATTTATTGCTGCTTTTCACACGCGAATCATGTTTATTGTGGCCTACATATATATATTTTACAACGACCCACATACGCACTTGACTGCGCTCATATATCTTCTGCGTATTTTACTTTCTCAATTAAGCAGAGCATAATTATATACATATGTATATGTATGTATGTATATACAAATCAACAAACTGTAGTGCATTTCACTTCTTCACCCTTCCGTTTACCCTTTTACAATTGAGTTGAATTCATTGTAGGCTTTTATAGCCCTGGATAATCAGGCAATCATCTTCTGTGGCTTGCTTACCGCACTCATTCAGTTGTTATCTCAACCTTACCTGTCTGCTGCAACTGTAAATGCTTTTATTACGATTGTATGCATTGCATTCATTTAAGGCGCTCGCCTTGGCAACAGCGAAATCGTAGTCTACTTTTGCGCGGGCTTAATCTTGCTTTTAATGAGATTTTCACTTATTTTAAACAGTGGGCAAACAGAATGGTGCTGCATTTCGTAATCATGCCAGCTCATCTCATGCAATTGCAATCATGAATCAATCAATCGCAGCGCAACACCGAAGGGTTGAAAATAAAGGAATCGGCTATTTTCGCAGAATATAGCAACACGATATATCTACATTTATAAAACTTCGGATTACAAAAGAATTGGAATAATACTCGATGAAATCCGATTATCTCGCAGTATTTTCTTGGAAACAGATAATATTTCAGCCTTGCACGTTATTCAAAAAAATATAATAATGTTCAAATTTGGTCGAAGCCTTATTTTTACTGACTAGTCAAGAAAGACTTTATTTCACTGATATCCGTTTTAACAAAGTATGAAATTCGCTAATTGTTGCTTTATGAAATATTAATAAAATTTAATTTAATATCTTAATAACTTTCAGTAGGTGGCAACTTTTTTCGAAAAATTGTTTAATTTGTCTATATCTTTCCCTCTATTTTCTATACTGATAATAAAAACTAATGAGGCAAAAACTTATGATTTCATCATAAAATGCGGTTATAAATCAATTACTCGTTATCACCCCTTCTCGGTAACAGTGCTCATGTTATTAAAATAATTCTACTTGTATGATACACGTATTTATGAAATTGACCGTGAATGCAAATTAATTAAACTTTCAATCACTCACCTTAAGCACGAATATTTCTCCCGTGGTGCGATTTATATCGAATTTACTATTGGCAGGATTATCCGGATCGATGCCTTGACCTGTCAAAAAGTAAACAATATTTTGAGGGCGATCCTTATCTCCATCGGTGGCGGTGACCTGTTATTCAGGCAAAATCAAAAGCGGTCCAATCCAGTTTCACACAGTGTAAGCAAAAACGTAAGCAAATAGTTTTTATTAATATTGAATTGAAAAACGTATGAAACTACTTTGTATGTTTTGTGAAAATGTAGTCGGAAAATCATATAAATTCCAACATATACTAACATAAGCGCAATGATACATATTTGGCAAGATGCATGCAACTGTTTAAGACAAGAAAGCTAAAGTAAGAGCAATGCAAATACTATCGAATCACGCAATCTACAAAAATAAATTTAAAAATATTTCTTTTTGAATATAAAACCTTTGTTAGAACATGCCACTTTGTTATTGATATGCCAAGAAGATTTATACGGCCTATGGGCTAAATAAAACATTTATTTGAATACACATGCATACATATAAGTCACAATAAAATATGGTAACGTATTTTACAATAATTCAATTCATCTTCCGGCAAATTTTTCTTTTAAGCGCTTGTGAATGTCAGTAACTAAATATTGTATTATTTATACATTTATAAAATTGCAGGAATTTGTGATGAACATTTTTTAATGAACATGTATACATGTATTTGCTTATAAATATAACAATTTTACTACAATTTCCTTTCATCAAAATTGATCCTTTTATATTTTTTGTCAAATTAAAGCAAATGCGTCACTTGCATAAACATTCTTATAAAATCACTCTGTACCAGCCGTCTTTCTCAGTCTCAGTATAAAACTCAGGTTCACTATGCAACAAAATGTTTAATCTAACCAAACTTTTCTGATTTAATGTCATACAATTTTTGGTAGCATTTATATACTTCAATAACGACACACACATATAATTTTAACAAAATTATAATAAACAAGGACAAACGTTAACTTCGGTTGCATTGAAGCTAGAATAAACTTCACAAATAAAGAAATTACCATATAAAAACTTGATTTTGATCGTTCAGTTTGTTCAGTTTTGCAACTATATCACAAAGTAGTACGATCAGAAAATTTCTCAAAAGAAATTCCCGTTGTCTCTTAAAACAGCTTTCGTAAACATATCTCGTCCAGTAAAAAGTTTTTCATACAAGAACTCAATTTTAATCATGCAGTTTATTTGGCAGATATCTGTTATAGTCATCCAATTTAGGAAATTTCTTCAAATATTGTAGCAGTGCTGTGGGCAATGATTTGTGTAAAATTTCACGATGATAATTTCTTAAATAGAAAAGTTTTAAATACAAGGTCTTGATTACAGCTATATACTATAGTAGTCTGACTTTAGATCGATATCTCAAAAACTGAGGGACTAGTTCGCGTATATACAGACGGACGGACAGGCGGACATGGCTAAATATATATATATATATATATTATACGGTGTTCAACGTTTTCCTCAGAGTGTTAAAACTTCGTGGCAAACTTAATTTACCCTGCTCGGCGTATATGTTAATAGAACACTTTCTTTGTTTTTTTCAGATCATCAAATGAACTTGCTCGAAATAGCTGGTACCCTATATCTATCATAGGAAAATGTGCGCATAAGCAAAATGGTTTCATGATTCTGAATGATGTTTGAGGCTGCTGTCAATGGTAGTAAATTTGAACTTCCAAGATTTCATTTGATAGCTCAGTCCACCTGCATCCCATTCGATTGTGCGCGTTGAATCGATGCGGGAATTGTTCCGCACAGACTTTATTTCTCAGATCTGACCCCCAGCGACTTTGATTTAGTTCTTCGATCTCAAGAGGTCGAAATGTGTTTTGAGCAAAGCACAAATTGTACTGCAAAAACTCGGCTTTGTGGGGTTGAAAGATTATCATAAGCAGTCTGTCACTATTGCCAGCAACTTTATTGAACAATAAAATTAAGTTTTGCGAAATACATTTATTTTTTGAAACAATATGAAATGGTTTGTCTTCCGGGATCGTTTGATTAAATTTTACTCCGAATTTAATTCAATTATATTCAGATGAAGTAGGTTAAAATGTACTTCGAGCAATGCTAACTCACCTAATTTGTCACGCTGCTCACTCGCTTGTATACGAGTACTTATGTATATAATCAATTTTATGTAATATACTATATGACTTTTGCAAATATTAAAGCTTCATTAGCGTAAACGGTGGTCGATTAACATATATCTGTTCTGAATTAAACTCTATTAAATTTTAATAAATTATAATTAAATAAAAGAGCAACATACTCGTTTTTGCTTTGGCGCTCCATAAATCCAAAACCATTAATTAGTGCATATTCTTGCCCATACGCAATATATATTTACATTTAGTTAATTAATTTGTAGTGGCTGATAAAGTATGAACTATTTGTAATTGGAATTTAAGGTTGCAATAGGAAACCTGATAACCCCTACAATCAAATGAATGTTAGCTATTGTATGAAAATGCCATTTTCACACCAATTTGAGCTGTTGAATTAATTATACAATGATTTAACATAATTACATTACGCATTATACACAAAGTGTTACCAGATTACTATATACAAATGTATGTGTTAAGTGTAGCCCGGCACTCAAACCAATACTAGAGTTTATTAAAATACTCCAGATATTTGTATGAAATAATATATACAAGTTTAAACAGTACAATAAAAAATATGAAAATTATAATTTACAAAAATTAAAATAATTAATTAAATTGGTTATGTGACAGTTAATAACTAATTTAATAAAACATATTTTTTCTTTGAAAAATTTAGCGACCTGCATGATGGTGAACGGCGCATCCAGCTCCTCGTCCAGCGTGCGCTCATATAGGGTTTGTGGAAAGACCGGCGGCAGATCATTGACATCGCGCACATAAATCACGATTGTTGTTGAATTCTCATTCAAACTATCGGAGGCAACCAATTTTAAATCGTACTTTAAACATCGTGGAAATAAAAACAAGAGCAACAAAAAATGCAAAATAATAAATGTGTGTAAAATGTGTAAGAGTAAACAATTTGATATATAAATTTAGTCAACCTAAATAAATTGAGTAAAATGATCCAAGCACTTCGACATTGTACGAGAGTAGACCAATAATAACGAATTACGTCAATGCTTTAAACTTGTCGAATGTATTTAAGTAACTCAGTTTCAATAAAAAGTTCGCAGTTGACATGTAATTAATACATTTTGCTAAGTAATCACTTAGGGAATAATTGAATATATTATTTGTGTTAAGCCTTTAGCCTTAGGTAACAAAAATGTACAGAAGTTGGTTTCGAGCATCAGTTTACATTATTTCTTAAATTAGTGATATGACTATGATATATATCCTGAGACATGGGCCTGTGGCTGAATAAAATCGCGTAATTTGGACTTGACGTAATACTCATCTTTACAACGGAATACCGGGGTAACTGAAAAGGTATATTAGCTTCGTATAGTGAGATAGTTCTGTGCTAGCTCTGTTGCATGTGAACGCAATAACAAAGTAATTCAGTTGAAAGCCACACGAATTTTAAAATGTAAGTATTAGAAAAAAGTCGCGTGGTGAGCGGTCAGTAACCTGATGGTTAGAGTGATCTGTTAGTATTATATATGATGACCTGTACTTTTTACTACCATATCATAACTAGAACCATTGTTCCACTTATTAACTTTTAAAATTTACTTTCATGTACAATATAATATATATTATTTGCTCCTTATTAAAATGATAGGTTACTGAATCAAAATCATCAAAAAATAATTAAAAAATAGAATATGGAATATAAAAAGTTTACCTAATTAATATAGATAGCGTAGAAATAGTTTAGCTTTAAATAAATTTTATATAAAATAACTTTGTTTGCCGTAAGTGAAATTTAGTTTTCCGTTCTGTTGTGTGAAACATCTTAGCATAACAAGCAATTATAAGGAGGCATGTATGGTATATTTAAAAAAAAATCTTAAGTTAAATTCATGCAAAAAGACATAACAATAAATTGAATATATTCTTCTATATTAAAAGTAACAATATAATTCGAAATGCTTTTAAGGCAAAGATATTCATTTTTGGAACATAAACATTATTGAGAGGAAAACTATTTGAAGCGTGCACATAAGTGAAGCAAAACAAAAATTACAGTTAACAAAGTTTGCAACAATGCTAAAGGAGTCGTAACGAAAACAACAACAGCTTGAATAGTGCTAAAGGTATATAAAGCACGAAAGCTCTAAATAAAGCTCAAAGTTGTTCTAGCTTTTCTCAAATTACAAAAATAATATATATATAAAAACTGCATTAAAAATTGGCGTATACAAGTTACTAAGTTACACATTTACAAAATATGGAAAAGAGTGTGCGATTATATTAACGTTATACGTATATGGCCAATAACCTGAAGCACACGTTTCGGCAAATTGCGGTCATCTTCTTCGGTGATTTGCGTGCGATAGGTGGGACGTTCAAAAACTGGTGGATTATCGTTGACATCCTTAACATGAATTATGACGGTCGTATAGTTTTCCTTCAAGTTATCGGAAGCGGCTAAACGCAGCTCATACTGTGTGAGTTTAGTTAAAGAGGAGAAGCGCATTATTTGGGTGAGAAAAATTGAAGGGAATGTTCCACATATTTCTTGCCATTTTTTAAAAAAAACATTAATTTCTAATATTTTATAAGCGGCATTAATAAAAAATATTATTTAATGTGAATTATATAGTACTGTTGAAAGCTTTAAAAAATTTAATGCATTACATATAAATTAATATAGGTCAGAACCGTGTTAATTGCATTTTATATTTAACCATATTTTTGAAGGTCAGTGCTATTGCTCGCGCGTCGCAATGTTAATTAAAAGTATTTAATATTCACTTAATATATATATATCACAAGTATTAAATATTCTTAAACTTTTACAACCGACTTTACCCTCTCTGCGACTTTTCTGCCGCTTTCATTTCTTATCACAATTTTCGTAAGAAAAAATGGTTTAAAAATCTAAATATCTTTCTACGTAAGTACATAAATGTACATGAATGTTCGTACACAAATATATCTACAAGTATATATGCTGTGTAGCATAGCAGCACTATAGAGGTTTAATCCAACAATTTGTTCGGTTATTGTACCGTTGCATTGAACAATAACACATGACAAATTTTGTGAAGAAAATTTGTCAAGTAAAAAGTTTACCATGCAACGACTTGATTTCGCGCGATCAGTCCGTACCAAATTCTAGAAGTTTTTCACACAAGAATTTAATTTTGATCGTTCAGTTTGTATGGTAGCTATATGCTATAGTGGTTCGATATCGGCGGTTCAGACAAGTGATCAGCTTCTTTTGGGAAAGAAGGAAGTTTGCAAAATTTTAGGTCGATATCTCAAAAACTGAGAGACTAGTTCGCGTATATACTGACAGACCAACGGACCCGGCTAAATCTACTCAGTTTCTTAATTTCATCATTTACCATACATGCATAAGTATGTATAAGCTTCATGGGATCTCCAATGGTTTTTTCTGCGTGTTACAAACTTCGTGGCAAACTTAATATGTATACCCTGTTCAGGGTATAAAAAGTAGCATGGAAGTTAAGAAAATGTGAATTAAGTAAGATAAAACTATTAACCAATATTCTTGAAGACATTTAAAAAGTAGTTTTAATCAAATTTATTTGTCTTTTAACTCAATTTATGAATTTTGCTCTTCGTTGGCAGCGCGCATAAAAAAGCAGCAGCTATGAACTACAATTGTTCAAATGACTCTATGCAGTTATACACTTTTGAATGTTGCAATAATACAGTCAAATTCCAAATTACATACATATGTATGTTGAAACAATCCAAATATACTGCAGAATCAAATTTGGTGCAAATATGTATGCACCTATAAATATGTAAATAAATGAAATGTACTTGAACTAGTGCTAACAGATGAAACGAAATGCGGTATATTGAATACGTTGGGACCAGCGAAAAGTGGCATTTGTTTAGTGCGAGCACACGTGATGGTATGATCGCCCATTCGATGTTTAGCTATGGTTGTCAAGGAGATGTATGTAAAAACACATATGTCACATTTTGGGGAGAATATTTTATTTGTCTTCTTGTTTAAGTTGGTCACGTTTTTCAAAATTGCAGGCTATAAAGTGTGGCGCTAGTAGTTTCCCTACAATGAAACGTGCAACTAGTGGATAAAAAAAATAGCTTACAACTAGAATTCGCAGACTAAAATCCAAGTGAGCAGAAAAACATCAGATTTCAAACAATTTTTTGGAAAGTTAACTCAGAGAAAT